GATCCTGTTGGACTGTAACTCAGAATTCTTCCCCACACATCTGAGCCCACAGGGAAACAAAGCTATCTGGGCTAAAGTGACTTTAGCATCTCGTTACATCAAGCTTATTTTCCTTTTTGGCCTGATGAATTTAATTAGTACACTTCTTTTATTTTTAAGCACTTGGCAGAGAAAGCAAACTGGATGAAAGGGAACCAGCCAGTGCTTTACTTTGAAATTTTCAAGGCAGTGCTTAGTGATAGAGTAAGCTTGACATAAATGGACCAAGTACTGTGCATAGATTACTAGAAACTGCATGGCGTGCTAAAATTTGACTTAATGAGGAATAGTCCAAAGTTTCTATGGGTCTATCTTTTCATATACCGGTAGATAGTATACTAAATTATAAGGAACCAGAGTTGTAGAATATCTATTTTTTCTTCTTATCTATATTTATTACTCTAATGCATTACTCTAAATAAAGTATTAAGAATGTAAGTATATTATATAAAATATCATTGACCTGAAATAACATGTATTTATTATCATATTTAGAAAACACCCATCTCCCTCATACAGTGTCTCTGCATTAAATGGTGCAATAGATATAATATGCTAAAAATTGAGCTGGTTAATTAATTTATTAATACTTTATAGATATATCTTTAGATTCTTCAACTGTCATTCAATTACTATTTTATATATTCCTTTTGAATATATTAGCAGTAATATATTTTTGATTGGAGTTCATCATATCTTCTAGTCGTTATACCGCACTAATAAAACACTTAAATGTTAGAGAAAAAAATCCTAGAAGAAACCAAACAGTATATAATCCATTATTATGGTGCATGAATTTATTGCATGCAAACAGTGTCTCTTCTTTTCTCAGTAGTTCTCAGTAATTTGATGGAGTGGGAGAAAGGTGAGATAAACTGAACAGATAGATAGAAATTGTATCCAGTGGAGCAAAAATGTATTTCTCATCAGGCAATATTGCTCAATCATTTAATAAAAATGTTTTGCTATTTGTCTTTTTAAATATGCACAGCAGGATCATTAGACAATTCAGTTTCCAAATATTGTAATTTTGTCAGATAGCAACATAAAATTCACAGAATGTAAATATCAAACAAGTAGATTCTCATTGTGTTTCTCTCTTTGTTCCTTTTCTAAGGATTTTTAATCAGTTGTCAAATTGACAATTGTAATGGCAGATTAAAATTCAGCGTATACATTTCATTGTTTAAAAGTATAGGTGGTTCAACTAGTTTGAAGTTACAACACTGAATGAATGGTGAATGAATGAATTATGGACCAGCTCCCTCATGGTCAGGTGATTGTGATCTGGCCACTTGGTAACCAGTTTGCACATACAATGGTGGCAGCATCCTGCAGTCACATGATCGTGATTTGCCACAAGTTGTGCCAATATGTCTTTCCCATCCACACACCCTCTCAGAACCTTGCTGGCGCTCACAACACACATCCCTGGCCACTCAAAGACCTTTGTGCACCCTTCCCCCAGCAGCAGCAATCACCATGAGCCCTCCCATATTTGCATCTCTCATCTGGCAGTAGCCATCCCAAGCTTCATCATGCTCACACCATGCCTTTCTGCCATTTGTGCTGTGTCATACACCCTCTCCCACCTGGCAGCTGCTATCCCAAGCCCCGCTACGCTTGCACCACAACTCTGGCCCCTTGCACAGCCTTTCACTGCCTCCACCACCTAGTAGCAGCCAGTCTTCTGCCTGCCAGTCTTCTTGCAAGCTATCTGGGACTTGCAATTTTCTGCTGACTTCCCCACTTATTTTGGTTGTTGGAAACCAGCAGGAAGTTGCAAGGAGGTGCTTGCTTAAAGACCCACAAGCCTTACTTAATATTGGCAACTGGGCTGTAGGGATTGCCATCGCTAAGCAATGAGATCACATGATGATCACATGACTGTATCACTTAGCAGTGGAAATTCTGGTTCCAAGTGCCATCATAACTCAAGGACTCCCTGTATAGAAAAAAAACCCTTTATGGCTAAATATATTTGCTATTTACAGTAGTTGCTAAAATTTCATATTTCTTTTACAGAGAGCTTACTTTTTGGAAAATGCTATATTATATATTTGTGCTGGTCTGTGATTGTAATAAAAATTGAAATGAATTGAATATTATGTATTCTGTGCAAACTGAAACCAACAAGTAGAGAAAGTGAAAAAAAGTTATCTAAAACCAAAATCTTTGTTTCTTGTCATAGTGTAAACTTAAAAAAAACTATTATTTATACTTTCATAAGGTCATAATCAAAAGATAGTTCTTGGTAATGATGTGCTAGAAGAATTGTGTCCCAAACTTCAAAGCCATTTTTTAAGCTATAAGGAGAATGGCTCACTACTTTTCAAGTATGGCCAAAAGCAGCTTGTAGAGTCTACGGATGTTTTCTAAAATTCAAAGAGATCAATTACTTTAACCATAGGTTGTGAACTCTTCTTTCATCACATCAGGAAAGCCTTATTATTGACACAGTAAAATGTTTGAGTGTAATCCTTAATTAGCAGTGATGGTATTTGAAAACATGTTTTACAAATGATTTCAAAGGTTTTTTTCCTTTCTTTCTCCAAGATCCAGCATTCTCTTTAATTATACCACAGGAAGAAAAATAATGTCATGTTTTCTTTCTCTCCTGGAGTGAGACATCATAAATAAGTAAAAGTTGATAATTTTCACAATTTTGGGGAGTTTTTTGAGACAGCTAACAGGCATGTGGATGGAGGGTAACCCTGTTGACACTGTATATTTGGATTTCCAAAAAGCCTTTGATGAAACTACTTATTGAGGACTCATGAATAAACTTAGCATTTATGGAATAAGTTATTATTTTACAGACTACAACTTGTTAAAAAAGAAAAGGAATCAATAATGTAGATTCCTACCATGTTTCCCCCAAAATGCAATCTACCCAGTGGTGAAATCTAAAATTTGTTACTACCAGTTCTGTGCGCGTGGCTTGGTGATGGTGGGGGTAATGTGACTGGGTGGGCGTGGCCATTTTTTTTATATATATATACTTTTAAAACCATTTTTAATGGTTCTGCCGATCAGGCAATTCAGCTTGGATCGTCAGAGGCATTTAAAAGAAAAAAACCTTTTTTTTCTTTTAAATGCCTTTGACAATCCCAGCTGAGCTGCACGATCATCAGAGGCTTTTTTTTTTACTTTTAAAAGCATTTTTTGGCCGAAGAGATTGTAGAAAAAATGCTTTTAAAAGTAAAAAAAAAAAAAAGCCTCTGATGATTGTGCGGCTCAGCTGGGCATGTGGGGGGGGGCAGGGATTTTTGCTACTGGTTCTTGAAACCACCCGCCTCCATCGCTACCAGATCGAGCAATCCGGTCCGAACCAGGAGCATTTCACCCCTGAATCTACCCCAAAAGTAAGCCCTCCCCTGATTTTTTGGGGTAGGCCTAATATAAGGCCTACCCCCAAAATAAGGCCTAGTGAAGGGGTGGGCGTGGCCAGCCCAGGAGGCAGCCCTTCTCTTTCCCAGTCATCTTGGCTCCTTAACTGCAAGTTTGCGGATCAGCTGATCCACCGAGGGCCGGGAGTTCTGTCTCTCTGGGTGCCTGGAGATGTTTCTGGAGATGAAGCAGAAAGCCATGTGGCCCGTTGGAATCAGCTCCCCCACTCTACCCGGCTGATGCTGCTTGAGAAAAGATGAAAAGGCAGGCAATTCTGAAAGATTGTGGGATGCGTGTGCTTATGGTAGAAGCAAAATGCAGCCTGTCTCTTTTAAGCAATCAAATATCTGTGTGTGTGAGAGACAGAGAGAGAAAGAGAAACGACAGAGGGGAGTAACAAGAATTGCAGGCAACGCTGTTTGAAAGGGTTTCCTTTCTGCCGTTGCTCTTTCTCTGTCTGTCTCTCTCTCACCACACGCACACAGACATTTGTTGAGAAACAGCAGAGGGTAGGCAACCAGGTAAGGGAACTGACCCTCTCCCGCTTTTTTATAAATTATCTTAAACTAGGGTTTAAATACTGAGATAGTCAAATTTGCAGCTAAACTATTCAGAATGATAAAAACCAGTTTAATTAAAGAACTCCGTAGAGCCCCTTTTGAACTGGATAATCAACCAAATAATACATGAGATTCAGTTTTAAGTAAGTATAAATGGGGAAACAATCCCCTGCTATACATATATGTATTGGTACAGTCCTCACCTATTTCTTATTGCCCAAAGAAATATATGTAGTGATGTATAAAGACACATAGAGTGAAAAAAGGCAAATTCCATGTTAGGGTACATTCAGAAAAGGATTGCTAATGAAACCGTCAATATTTTAATAGTCTTATGCAAATCTCTGGTAGATCAATTTGTGGGATACTAGATACAATTTGTTAGCCACATTTTTAAAAGTATATAATAGAAGAAATGCAGAAGAAACGAAATGAAATGATTAGGAGCCTTAAATATTTCCTTCTCAAGAAACAGCTCAAATGTTTGAAATTCGTTAGTCTAGAATAAGTCTGCACAACATATGGGCCTGCACAACTCAAAAAATAAATCCACTGCCATCAAATGTTTCCACCACCAGGAAGGATCTGCCATGTTGCCATTCCTAAAGACACCCTTCCAATCTCCAATGGAGGTATCTCCAATGCCTCCAAGCCCCACTGATATTGACTGCACTGCATTCTCACCACTAACCACCAAACAGATGATTGGGACACCAACCATTTATTTGGGGCTTGCCATTATTTTTAATTTCCTCTACAAGTTGTGCAGGCCTGGTGTAGAAGAAAGGCAACCAAAGAAAGACATAATCAAAGCATATAAAATCATGCAAAATATGGAGTAATTGGACCTTCTCTCTGTTTATTCAGAAGAAAATGACACAATGTTGTGTTCACAGAGTTGTACTTCTAGTTGTATTTTTCTCATCAAAATAAGACTCAAGTAGAAAATAGAGCAACATTATTAAAATAAATATATTTATTATATATTTTTATACATCATTTTTCATGCAGGCTGAATATTTTTATGAATTCCTCTCTTTGCGCTCTCTGGATAAAGGAATAATGGCTGACCCAACGGTAAACATCCCTCTGCTTGGAATGATACCTCACCAAACCTCAGGTCTGTAGCATCCATCTTTATTTATGCATCCAATGTTGTCCATGTAAAGGACGAGTGAAGAAAAATGGTGAGCCAACATGTTGTGGGTTTGTTTGTGTGTGTGTGTGGCATTAAAGATAAGAAAAATCCTATGTTAACTGTGAGGACTTTAAAAAATACTGATTTGTTGATGATTTGAGCCAATCATTCTCTTGCAACCCAATCCATCTCACCAGGTTGTATTGTGGAGAATATAGGAGGCAGGAGTAATAGGTATGTTTATGTGAAGCACCAGGGAAATCAGGAGATCCAGGCAGTTCAAATGGGTATAAAGATCTATTGCAAACTTAAGCTCTCTACAAGAATCTGAACTACTAACAGCCCAAGCAAGTTGGCTGTAGAAGAGTCACAGGAATTCAAGGTGGGCTGGACTTAGATCTCTTGTGGGTATCAAGAGACTCATGACTGATGATGCGTTTCACCCTTCCTCAGGCTCAGCCTGGTCATCTCCTACAGTTTACTATCTTCACTTATATACAAAAAAGTAGGATAAAAAGTAGAGTAGAGTAATAAAAATGGAATGGGGTGGGGTGGAGTGGAGTGGAGTGGAGTAGAAACAGAATAATCTGTTTGTAAATGTTAGTACATGTGTCTGCAATCAAATTATCTAATAATTTGGTAACAATGAAAGTCTTTGGAACTTTTATTATCTAAGCATCTTATGTTCCACATCTGAAAAGAGGAATGCCAAATGTTGGGACTGCATCACTAAAATTCTTGCACAGTGAAATGTGCTCATATTAATCAAGAAAAAGATACAGAAACATCCAGTTCTGAGATCAACAAAAATCAGCCCTTCCATTTGGTAGAGAGAATCATGGACTCAAGTCTATAGATGCTGAAGGTCTATAAGTGGCCTTGAGATGCTAAAAGGCAAAATGGTATCTTCACTTCCAACCTAGCCTGCTGTCCTCAGATGAAAAGGAGGATACTGACTCTTGTCTTGTCAATGTTGAAATAATATACAGTTGGCTTCAAGACTAGTAATATTTTATATCTTTTTCAAAATCATATAAAGAGCAATTACATTCAGCATGGGAGCTGGAAATCTGTCTCTGTACATCAAAATGAACTTATAAAGTATAATTCAGTGAAACATTAGCTAAGTAAGAAAAAAATTATTTTTCTGTGAATGAAAGGTAAGAATAGCAAAGGATGAAAAAGGTATCAAAATAATATAAAGAAATATTTGCTAAGAATGTTTTACTCCATAACTTTTAAGCCAAAGAAAACTGATGTAGAATAGCTACCAAAAGCTTCTGCTATGAAGACTACATATATTCTATATGGTGTCTCTCATGAGGAGAGTCCAGCTGAAGATATATAGAATACTCTTGTTCTTTGCCTTTCTTCTCTTTTTTAATCAAGAGATTGGCCAGGCAGAAACTAGAATAGTGAAGACCTCTCTCTTTCTTTCATTCTGGACACAAAGGCAAAGTTTGCAATTACATTAAAACAATCCTTTAAGGCACTAGCATAGAAATAATGGCCTTGGTCACATGCAATACAGATACTGGAGGCACCCTTTATACTTGTAGCTGCACTGGTGATGGTTTAAAATGAGGGAGCAAATATGGATACAGGACATTACTGTTGTTCCAGAGGTTGAAGTAAAGAACATGAACTAGGAGTGCTTTTTCGGATGATGATCAATTCTCTGGTTGGAGGGTGACTTCATGGAACAGGTTGGATTGAAAGATGATTTGCACTGGTGCCATTACAGTGCTGAAGAGCAAATACATGAATATATTCACTTTAAGGAACTGAAATGGAGGCATGCAGCCCCTGCTATCAAAAGTTATTGTGCCAGTGTCTAGACTGTACTTCTTAGAACAGGTTCATTTGCCTTGGATTTGGGATGACAGCAGAGGTTATTCATACCAAGCTAAAGGAACCTTCCCCATCCTGATGCATCCTAGAATTATGAGAAGAGCTGCAATTCCCAAAATATTGACCTATTTTGTGTATTGGGTGAGAATTAGGAAAGCTGAGAAGCCCAAATCTAATTAGATATGACCTTTTCTACAAGAATAAATGTAGCATTTTCTCCTATAACTTATTTGTACTGTATATTTCAATCTAATATTGAATTTCCAATAGATAATCAACTACGTATTTTAACGTATATTATAATATTTATATACTGCTGATTCTGCGAATACCCCAGTGGCTCACAGTATATAGTACTAGCATTTAGACATATATATCATTTCACAGTGCTTTACAGCTCTTTCTAAGCAGTTTAGAGTCAGCATATTGCCCCCAACAATCTGGGTTCTTATTTTACCAATCTCAGAAGGATGGAAGGCTGAATCAATCTTGAGCTGGTGAGAATCAAGCAGAATTAGCCTGTAATACTGCATTCTAATTGGTGCACCACCACCAGAGATATATATGAAATTATATATATAAAATACAATAATACATAAAAATATCTATCAACCTCCTCTGCTGTCCACTGCCCCAATAACATATAAGATCTGTGAAAGAGTTCTGTTTCACTTCTTTTCTAAATGCCATGAGGAAGGGCACCATATATCGTGTCTATTTTTCAAATTCAGATTTCCCATATAATAAAACATTGTCCTTAACAACATTAATATGCCACTAAAAATGTGTACCTCTTTTCCTTTTGTTTGTAGTTGTTCAAGTTGGATTTCCTTGTCTTGGAAAACAAGATGGAGTGGCAGCATTTGAAGTTACAGTAATTGTAATGAATTCAGAAGGCACTATCATACTGCAAACTCCACAGAATGCCATCTTCTTCAAAACATGTCAACAAGGTACCTGGAAGTGAGCTGAATAAAGATTTGTCTGTTTTCAGAGTTTTCAGTATGTTGGGAATATCAACATTTGATCCTATTTCCCAATTCTGAAACAAAAGAATGGGAAATATCTGTTGTAGTAATAACAAATACTAATGAGCCAAATCTTATTAGTAGTGTAATATGCAGAATTCCTAAGCCAGCATAGTTGCCTATTCCTGGTCCATTAAGGCACGAGGCTAGAAAGCAGGAAACCATGAGTTCAAGTTCCACCTTAGCTGTGAAAGCCAACTGGGTGACTTTGGGCCAGTCAATCTTTCAGCCCACCCCAGCTGACAGGTTGTTGTTGTGGGCAAAGTAGGAGGAGAAAGCTGTGTTGGCTATATTTGCCACCTCGAGTTATTTGTAAAAATAATAAAAGCAGAATACAAATGAATAAAATAAAATAAATAGGCAGATTTCAGAAAAAGCTCACAAAATCAGATAGTTATCATAAGATAAATAATCAAGAAAAAGGGTAGCTTATGATAGCCTATATTCAGCTACATCTTCCTGCTGGCTATTTGCATACCCGTGCAAAGCCCAAACAACACTTAGCACTAGTTTGGCTGATAAGGGGAAGCTGGGATTATAGTATAGTTTTGTTTCTCATAAAACATTTTGCATAAGAGAAAGGGGATTATGAGGCAGTAGAAATTGTCTTAAATGACTGAAATGGAGGTAATAGCTGGCAATTAAGATGAACCTAGCTCTGGTTATTGAAGATCTGTGCAGTCTGGCAAATCTCCGTTGGACCGGACCATATTTACACTGCTGAAGGCTTTGTAGCTCAGGGCAAATCTGGAGAACATTGCTAAAGAAATCCAAAGAAAAACCTGAAGAGGAAGAGCCTTGGTAGTACAGTGGTCTAAAGCACCCTGTTATTAACACCAGCTGCCTGCAATTACTGCAGGTTCGAATCTTGCCAAGGCTCAAGGTTGACTCAGCCTTTCATCCTTTTTAAGGTAGGTAAATTGAGGACCCAGTTGTGGGGGCAATAAGATGACTTTGTATAAATATACAAAAGAATGAAGGCTATTGCTTAGCGCATTGTAAGCCGCCCTGAGTCTCCGGAGAAGGGCGGCATATAAATCAAATTTTAAAAAAATAATTAAAAAAAATACAATGGGAACTGTTTACTAAATACAGATGGGCCTGTTGGAGGTCAAAGATGAAGGAAGATCAAAGGTTTACCAGTAAGAGAAGAGCCAGTTGCCAGTTTGTCCTCCATTAAATTGAGATTTCACAGTTAAGTCCTTCAGTTTTAAATTGGGTTATTCCTTCCAAAAAAATGTTTATAGAACTTTCCCTGACTCTGCAAGTGGAAGAATAATTTTCTTTCATTACATTTTTCTCTTAATATTCCTTTAAATTATATTTTGACATGCATGCCTTTGATTATAGTTTTCTTACACATGTTATGTGCTACCAAAATATCAGAGATTATGACATAGAGACGTTCTTTTTGGAATCCCTAACCATCACATCATCAATAGAAGCTGGTGTACTTAAGCAACAAATAAATAAATTAATTTAATCTATGTCATTTTCTTTGAAGCTGAATGTCCTGGAGGGTGCAGAAATGGAGGATTTTGTAATGAAAGGCACATCTGTGAATGTCCAGATGGATTTTATGGTCCTCACTGTGAAAAAGGTAATCAAAAAGAGTTCTTCAGTTCTCTTCTGTACTTTATTTATACAACAAAAAGAATCTAAGCAGTCACTTCTTTCCAAAATATTGTTTTGGAGGAATTTTTGGATATGGCTAGAAGGCTTCCTAAAATTAAAGTTAAACACATAAGAAAAGTATTTAATGAACTGCAGCTCTTAAGAAAGCACTGTTTGTTTATACAAAAGATAAAGAAGTTTCCATTAAAAGATCTGAAAGGCAAAAAAGAACAGGCCAGCAACTTAATGACAACTTTGGCAAAACATTAAGTACGATGCACATTAACTTGAAAATATGAAGTACCGCAGTTGTTTTATTCTACCATCATTTCTCAAGAGAATGTCCAATTTTCATTATAAATTAAGCGTATGTCTGTCCAAAAGGACAGACTGAGTAAGACCTATTTCATTACTCCAATAATACTTTTAGTTCAGTCCTATTTGCCAGGACTAACCCTAATCCTCTTTACCTTAGAAGAGAGAAGAATGTATTATGGAATCTCTTTCTAAAATGTTCCTAACTTGTGCACTTGCATGGCCTTTTGGAACCTGGTTTCTTCTAGATACATTGACTTCAGTTGCATCATTTTCCTGGCCTTCATTTAGATGGCAGTTAATTACAGGAACTGAAAGATGAAATTGTTCTTTCCTGGCTACCTGGGATCAGGAACACTGACTAGCACTGACAGTTGCCTATGGCAGGTCCAATAAGTATAATCTATTTGTGTTTCATGAATTTAAGAAATATATGTATATACAGCCCATCAAAAATGTTGTTAAGTAAAATTTCAATTTACTTCCACTAGCTGCAGTTTGGTATTCATATAAGCTAGTTATAGAAAAATCTTACTTGAAAATCAAGCTCAAGTCTTACTTGTATCATTAGAATATTTACCAGTGAATCAACACTTTTCTTTGCATGAGAAAATGTTATTTCTGTTGTGGAATGAAAAGTGCTGTATATTTTAAGATCTATCCCCTCAATATGTTAAGGATAATTGTTCAGTGTAATATTGGTTCTTCACTCTCTTTAAATCAGCTCTGTGTACACCACATTGCATGAATGGTGGACTCTGCATCATGCCGGGATTATGTATCTGCCCATCTGGTTTCTATGGCATCAACTGTAACAAAGGTATGGTGGAAAGAAGTAGAAATAGATACCTGGAAAGAAACATGTACTGCCACCTCTTAGCATGTAGTTGGCTTAAAGTTTGCACTATATCCCTGCATCTCTGTGTTTATTCTTGGATGCACTTTCCTTTTGATCACAAACATCAAATGAAAGAAGCATGACCTAGCTGACTCTCAGTAAAATTAAGTGTAGAATGAGCCTGGAGGATTCTTGAACAATTTCATTTTCATTGAATTGGGATTTTTTTTAAAGGATGGTAGAAGTTTAATACCATTCACCATGCAAACAGATAAATCAGACCCAAGCATCATACTTTCTTACTGTTGCAGATCTGATGAACACAAGCTGCATTACTCCAGATGTTTTTAATTTCAGTTTCAATCACCATTAGCTATCATGGTCAATATCGAAGTTGTAGTCCACAACATTGAGGGGACACTAAGATGCCTACTTCAGAGAAAATATGCTACTTATCTGCATATATAAACGTACTGTAGATCAGGATGTTGCATTTTGTTGAGCTCTTTAGCTTTTAAAAAGACTGAAAATTTTACTGAATTTCACTAAACCTTTATGTAAATCGTCTGTTATACTATATGTAATACTTTAATACTATATCCCACAGCAAACTGTACAAACATCTGTTTCAATGGAGGAATATGCTTTTATCCAGAAAAATGTATTTGTCCCGCAGGACTGGAGGGGGATCAGTGTGAAATTAGTGAGTCTTGTTTTAATTTCTTTTAATTAAATTTGAAATATTTTACTTGAAATTTCTAAAATATCAAAAGATGATATGTACCAGTGGTGGGTTCCTCCTGGTTCGGTCCGGTTCGGCCGAGCCGGTAGCGGTGATGATATGATGTCACCGAACCGGTTCTTCCCCCCGCCCCCCCACCCCCCCACATTATTCTTACCTTTTATTTGTTCCCACTCCCAATCTATTGCTGCCTCCTGAGTCCCAGCTGATGACTAGAGGGAAAAAAACTGTTTAAACTCTTGCCGCGGGGCTTCAAAGGGCCGTCCCACAGCTGATCAGTGTTAAAAGCAAACAAATGAGTCGGGTCGTAAGTGCGAGGACTGGTCATAAGTGCGAGGACCTTCCAGAAATGATTCTGAGCAGCTAGCCACGCCCACCTAGTCACATGACCTCCAAGCCACACCCACAAAATAAGCCACACCCACAGAACCGGTAGTAAAAAAATTTAGATCCCACCCCTGATATGTACAAGGGAGTCCAAGTGTAACTTACCTATCATAGTACAGTCCTTCTATTGGGCATATTTTTATTGTTGTTTATATACTAATACAAAGATGAAAATTAGATACTATATTTGTTATCATTCGATATGAGAAATCCCAGATACATAAGCATTCCTGATTATAATAAGTTATTAACAATCTAGGTCGAGGTCTCCAAACTTGGCGACTTTAAGACTTGGACTTCAACTGCCAGAATTCCCCAACCAGCTTATAATGGATATATGAGTAGTCCTCGACATAAGCAGTTCATTGAATGACTGTTCAAAGTTATAACAACATTGAAAAAAGTTACTTATAAGCGTTTTTCACATGAACATTGCAGCATCCCCACTGTCATGTGAACAAATTCAGATGCTTGGGAACTGACTCATATTTATGACAGTCGCAGTGTCCCAGGGTCATGTGACCATCTTTCTGACAAGCAAAGTCAATGGGAAACCCAAATTAACTAAACAACCGTGTTACTAACTTAACAACTGCACTGATTTGTTTAACAACAATGTCAAGAAAGGTTGTAAAATAAGGAAAAACTCACTTAACTAACTCACTTAGCAAATTTTGGGCTCAGTTGTGGTTGTAAATCGATGACTACCTGTAGATTATTAGAACACGGATATCAACTAGAAAATATGTAGTCATTAGCTTAAAGAAAATTTAATGTGGTATAGCATTCTATACAATTCTGTATAAGTTTCCACTTAAGCCCATGTGAATAGATATGATGACATTCAGAGATTATCTGAATGTCACAGAAGAGATTCATAGACAATCCTGTGACCTCTTGGGTCATTGTTTCAGAGACATTTCCTTACCTAAACTGATATACAGAATTTCAATAGGTGAGCATAAAAACAGTGGGACAGGGAGCAAGTTTTGACTTTCTCCTGACTTCTCCATTAACTTGGCTTGTGGAAGCTGGCAGGAAGCATCAGAAATCACGAACACAAGATCACAGCTGAACACAGTGGAGCAGCACCATCTATTGCAATGTCACCCTTACAGTAACATGATCACAATCATGTGATCACCATTTTCAATCTTCTCTGCCAGCCTCCCTAGAAGTCAATGGGAAGCTGACAGTGAAGCTTGTAAGCTACTGCCATCTTCCAAAAGGACTCCACCTCATTTCTAGAAGCCTTCTAGAAGACGAAAGAGTTTTTCTGGTGGGAAGAATCTCGGAGCTGAAAGGGGAGTGAAAGGAAGGAATCTCAGTGTCCTGTTCCAGCCCACATGCACAACATGCACAGAGATTTTACAGACTTTATTGATAGTCCAACCCTTTAATGTTAATTCCCAGGTCCCCACTTGCACGCAATGCAAAGTCCTATTGAGTCCAACACTGCTCAGTCAAGGTACAAGGTTATCAAATCCAAAACCAAAAGTCTACCAAGTCCATAGGCCAAGTCCACTCCAAAATCCAAGGTAGGAGTGCAAAATCTACAAACAAGACCAAGGTCCAAACACATAGGCAAGAGCAGCACAATCCAGTGTCAAGGAAACTGAAGTCAGAAAGGTAAAGCATGCACATGGCAGGAGAACCAGCAATTGTTTCCAACAACCCCCTGCTCCACCCGTCCAACTAAATAGGCGCTCATTGGTATAGCTCAGGCCTGTCAAACCGGTGGCCTGTGGGCCAGATGCGTCACACGCAGGCCACATCCACCCCGGCTCCACAAAGGCAAAAAAATCACAATACGTCACGAGTTTGACACCATGGTATAGCTCATTAGGAGGGGTACGCCTGCCTCCTCGCAAATAACCTGGCCAACTTCTATTGAGCCTGCCTCTGTTCTGCCCTGCATGTCTGTGGATCAGGTAGAGGGGACAATTCTTCCTCATCCCACTGGCTGTCTGCAGCTGTGCACCTTGTCCACTGTGCACTTCCAGTGCAGCCCCTGAGCTCTGTATCTCTTCTTTTTCTTCTCCAGCTGGGTGTTTGACTGCTCCTCCAATGATCCTTCCAATGTGCCTGGCCTCTCAAGGCCCTCAGCAACTTCCCGGCATTCCTCCAAACCCTCTCCAAAGTCTCCGGAGCCACTCTTCCTCATTGTTTGAGCTGGCATCCAGAGAAGCCATCACACATTAGAGGTGGAGAAACAGCAAAAGGGCTACTTTCCAGAAGGGAATCTCAGTCCCACAGATTCCCCCCTGGCAGGTAGCCTTGCTCCATCTGCTTAATGACCTGGGAGATTACTTAATGATCACAACAGGATTGCGGTCATTGAGTGAAGTGGTCATGTGGGCATCTTGCTTAATGACTGCTTCATTCTACCACTGATATTCCAGTCCCATATGTGACCGTAAGTCCAGGACTACCTGTAGCAGCAATCTATGAATTCCTATTTTCATATGTATCCATAGCAACTTAGATTACATTACAACAAGCATTATGTGAAAGTCTCAATTGACCAAAGACATGACAGCAACTGGAAATCTAAACTGGATTAGATTTAATTTAAATAAAGCAAGGCACTAGTGTCACGTTTTCTATTCCTAGGCAAATGCCATCAGCCATGTCGAAATGGAGGTAAATGTACTGGTAAAAATAAATGCAAGTGCTCCAAAGGTTACCAGGGAGACCTTTGTTCAAAACGTAAGTAGGAGAACTTTTTAAGAAGTATTAATAGAAGATTTGATACCATCGACCATGGTATCATGCTGCACCGGTTGGAAGAGTTGGGGATGGGGGGGCACCGTGTTATGGTGGTTCTCCTCCTTTCTCTCAGACCGGTCGCAGTTCGTGTTGGCAGGGGGGCAGAGGTCGACCTCGAGGCCTCTCATCCGTGGAGTGCCGCAAGGGTCGGTCCTCTCGCCCCTTCTGTTCAACATTTATGTGAAGCTGCTGGGCAAGATCATCCGTGGCTTTGGGGTGAGATACCACCAGTACGCTGATGACACCCAGCTGTACATCTCCACCCCAGGCCACCCCAGCGATGCCCTTGAAGTGATGGCCCAGTGCCTGGAGGCTGTATGGATCTGGATGGGGAGGAACAAGCTCAAGCTCAACCCTTCTAAGACTGAGTGGCTGTGGTTCCCGGCATCCCGATATAGTCAGCTGACTCCATCGCTGACTATCGGGGGCGAGTCTTTGGCCCCCGTTGAGAGGGCGCGCAATCTGGGAGTCCTCCTGGATATGCAGCTGTCTTTGGAGGAACATCTGACGGCTGTTGCCAGGGGGACCTTTTGTCAGGTTCGCCTGATCCACCAGTTGCGCCCCTTTCTTGATCGGGATTCTGTGTGCACACTCACTCATGCCCTCGTCACCTCTTGCCTGGACTACTGCAATGCTCTTTACATGGGGCTCCCCTTGAGGAGCACCCGGAGGCTCCAACTAGTCCAGAATGTGGCCGGGCGGGTAATTATGGGAGCTGCATGGCGCTCCTGCATAACACCGCTCCTGTGTGAGCTGCACTGGCTCCCAGTGGTCTTCCGGGTGCGCTTCAAGGTGTTGGTTACCTCCTTTAAAGCGCTCCATGGCATAGGACCTAGTTATCTCCGAGACCGCCTTCTGCCACCGACGACCTCCCATCGACCCATGCGCTCCCACAGAGAGGGCCTCCTCGGGGTGCCATCAGCCAAGCAATGCAGGCTGGTGACCCCCAGGGGGAGGGCCTTCTCTGTGGGGGCACCCACCCTCTGGAATCAGCTGCCCCCAGCGATAAGGAGAATCCAAGACCTCCGTGCCTTCCGTCGTGCCCTTAAAACTTTCCTTTTCCAACAAGCCGGGCTGGCCTAACAATGCCTTTTAAATGATTTTAAATTTGTATGTTTTTTAATTTTTGGCCAAATTGAGATATTTCCTTTTAATCTGTTCTTAATGTTTATATTATGTGTTTTTATCTGGCTGTACACCGCCCTGAGTTCCCAGGAAGAAGGGCAGTATATAAATTCGAAGTAAAATAAAAAATAAATAAATAAATAGTTAATCAGTCAATCAATAATCTTTACTGCAATCATTGATCAAATAAAAACACAAGACAACAAATTCTGAGACAGCAAATAAAAATCATAATAAAACTAAATAATTATAAAATTGATATGATCTTAGTACAATATATTTTACAGTTAATAAAGCAAAAAGTAGTTACATTCATAGAAATCAAATTATATTAATTGGGCCATCATAACTATAAACAGAATGAATCCAGTTGATCTGGAAATGTGATCAACCAGGAAGACATTACCTGTAATAGGGGCATAAGCAGGGCAATATACTAAAACATAGATTAGTATTTCATTAACTCCTTCAACACAAAGGCAAAGTCTTTGAATGGAATAGAGGCAGTCCTTGTTTAGCAAATACAATTGTAATCAGCAACTTGGTCATTAAGTGAAGAAGTCAGAAAGCGAAACCATGTCTGTACTTATGATCTTACTTCAGTTTTCTTTACTGACCTGCAAAGGTCATAAATGAAAGGTTTACTCATAAAGGTACTTTTTCATCACCTTCATAACTGCAAACAATTGTTAAATGAGGCAGTTGCTAAACAAAGACTACCTACTTTATACCTCAAAATTTTCTTTTAAGAGCAACATGGTGGAAGGTCAGTAAATCTTGCCACAATTTAGGTTTTCTGAATTTGGGTACTGTTACTTGGTTTAGATATCTTGATGGCTGGAAGAAAAGTGAAGAGTGGCAGATTCAAGAGTGGGTTATTGTCTTCACATCATATTAATAAGAATTGTACAATACAGTATAAGGTTCTTGTGGAGAAAGACATTTGATATTCATATAACCCATTATAGCTGTCTGTGAACCTAGCTGTGGATTGTATGGAATCTGTATTGAGCCAAATGTATGTCAATGTCAAGATGGATGGCATGGAAGGAACTGCAATAAAAGTAAGTCCTGATAAATCTAAGTTTTTAGATATGTCTGTATGAGTGTTATAGTAGAACCTCTGGTCATAAACACTTCTGACCAGGACCAAATCGGGTTCTGACCAAAAAATTCACTTTTTTTTTTTTGTGGCCGATTTCCCCTTCCGCACCATTTTTTTTTTTTTTTTTTTTTTTTTTTGGTAAGTGACAAATTTCCAAAAATAGGTTCAGGTCATAGTGACAATGTAATCTTATCTGAAGGATGTAATCTTCAGCTGAAATCCTAGCATGCAAAACAACTATTGACCATTAAATATGTAAGTCTAGAATGACTGATGGTGATAAATTATCAGTTATTGTTTCCAAACAACTGGGTTCCAAGCAACAGTTTTCAGTAATGCCACAGTGCCACATTTTAACATAATGGCTGTTGCTTTGACAGTGTAAGTACTTTTTTTCTTCCATTCCATCATAGCTGATTCTCGGAGACTGTCTGGACAAGTCCCTTTAGTTTTTGTGGCATGTTCCTGCCCCCCTCCCCCCCCCCATAGTTTGCAATTTCCTCCTTCTTAAGGCTGAGAAAAGTGATCTGACCAAGGTCATCCAACTGGCTTTGTGCCCAAGGCGGGACTAGAACTCACATTCTCCTGTGTTCCTGCCTTTTTTTTAATATTATTTTTTATTATAAATGTTTTTATTACATATAAAATTTCCATATCCACAATGGCAGTGTACTGATTGGTATAATCTCTTTTAAATACAAATAATAACTCTTATACATACAACAGCTATCGCTATTATTCTCAAAATCTATTCATCATATTCTTCACATATCCTTATTAAACATTTTCCGTTATTTAATTAAACGCTCTCTTCAGTTTTATCTATAATTACCTATTTCCCCCAAAATAAGACATCTCCTGATAATAAGCCCAATTGGGCTTTTGAGTGCATGGCAAAAAAGCCAAGCGCTTATTTCAGGGTTCAAAAAAATATAAGACAGGGTTTTATTTTTGGGGAAACACAGTAGTTAATAATATCAAGCATAAACATCATATAAGCCAGGGGTGGGTTCTAAATTTTTTTACTACCAGTTCTGTGGGCATGGCTTGATGGTCATGTGACAGTGGTGTGTGGCTTGATAGTCATGTGACTGGGTAGGCGTGGCCAACTCAATGTCACTCACGTCAAGGGGTGCCTCGCCTGGCCCCTCCCTTCCCAGCCATTCCTTGTCACACACAGCCTCAACATATCTATAGTTCTGTAAAAATATTATTCACCTTTTTTCAACTTTATTATCTACATACTATAGATGCACTTTCATGGATCACTGAAAGGAGGAAATGGCTTACATGCTTTGCCCATAAATCATGTCCTTCTAAAGTCAAAATTCTTTTGTTCCTCAAATTAACCCATTCTTTCACCCATGGAAGCACTGAGGCCTGGTAGACAACTCCCAATCAGGTAATCCAAATCCCCCCTTATTTTTAGCTTCTTGTAGCATTTTCAGTTTTATTTTTCCTTTTTCCCTTGTCATATAAACTTCAAAATCAATTTATTTAAATCCTCAAAAAACATTTTTTCTAGTTTTATCGGAATTGTTTAAAACAGAAATAACTTCGGCAAAATGTTCATTTTTATTGTAGCTATTCTTCCAACCATTGACAGCTGTAAGTTTTTCCATTTTTCCAGGTCTATCTTTATTTGCTGTATTAATTTAAAATAATTATCTTCTTTAATGGTTGCACATCTCACCATTAACCAAATTCCTAAATATTTTACTTTTTTAGTTATATGAATGCCCATCTTTTCCATCAATTCATGTTTATTTGTAAGATTCTTTAACAACATTTTAGTCTTTGTTTATTTTTAATCCTACTACTTCACCAAAATCTTCTATTTTTAAAATTAATTTAGGTCCCATTTCTAATGGTTCTTCTAGGATAAATACTAGATCGTCCGCAAACGTCTGTAATTTGTAAAAAAAAAAAATATTTCCATACCTTTTATTTCTGGGTCTTGTCTGATCTTTCTAATCAAGACTTCTAAAGTTAGTATAAATAATAGGGGAGACAGAGGACATCGTTGTCTTGCACACTTAATTATGTTGAAATTCTCTATCATATCCCCATTTACTATCACTTTTGCCATTTGTTTAGAATATATTGCCTTAATCATATTTATAAATATTTCACCAAAGTCCATACATTTTAATTGTTGTATTATGAATTGCCAATTCAGGTTATCAAAGGCTTTTTGTGCATCTAAGAAGATCAGCGCTATCTGTTTTTTAGGAGTGTACTTCATAGTATTCTATTGTATTCAAAATGATTCTCATATTATTTTTAATTTGTCTTTTGGGTAAGAAACCATTCTGGTCCGGGTGTATAAATTCGTTCAGGAATCTTTTTAGTCTCTCTGCTACTATTGAGGCATATATTTGGTAGTCTATATTTAATAATGATATTGGTCTATAGTTCTTTATCTGCTGTAAATCCGAGTCTTCTTTTGGTGTTAAGGTAATATTTGCATCTGCCCATATTTTAGGAAGATTGGCCCTTAACAGCACATCATTATAGATCTCCAACATTGACAAGCCTAAGACATCTTGTAGATGTTTATAAAGTTCTGTTGGAAGCCCATCTGGTCCAGGTGTTTTATTGTTTTTTTGCCTTTTAATTGCTTCTGTTAATTCCATCATTGTTATTCTTTCGTTTAACATCAGTTTCTCTGTTATTTTGGGTAATCTGGCCTTTTCTAAGTATTGTTTTATTGTATCTTCTGACACATTTTCTTGACTGTAAAGTTTTCCATAGAATTACTGGATTATTTTCTTTGACAGTGTATTGACTGGGTCAAAGTCATTTTTAAACAATGCTAACAATAATAATACCATACAAATAAGTATGCATAATCCTAATCTTCCAACTTCAACAATACCATTCTCTCTTTATAATTCTTTATCATTTTTTCCATTAATTCATTTAAACATAAATAACATTTTGTTGCACCATGTATTTGTTATCCCCTACTAAGTCACTAATATTTAATATTTTAAAAATTACTCATTATTCAACCATAATTTCAATATCCCAAATGTCTAGGACTACTAATAAGGCCAAATGTTAACAAAATTTAATCAATCCGATGACTATATCTCAAATCCCCACAATTTCTTATGAGTTTAAATTCACAATATATTTTAACACATTGTTAACATTAATAATCCAATTAGATTACCTAATCTTAAACTTCCACCTTCTAACCTTAGTTTATTTTTAATTATAATAAATCATATTATCTCTTAGTATTGTATTTTCTACTTTTCCATTTTATTAATATATTTTATCATTATCCATCATCTCTTAACCTTTTTGGAGTTCCATCATTTGTTGACTTTTTAATCATCCTTTTATTTCTCTCTCTTTGAATCCTATAACTTTTTTTGATATTTTTATACCCACTGAGTATTCCCTTTGGTTTGCCCTTTGTCTCTTTCTGCTGTATCATTTGAGCACCCATCTATAAGTCATTCTTTTTTTTTTTGAAGATATTTCTTTTTTTTCCTCTAAACCTTTCTCTTTTTTTGAAGAGATTTTTCTTTTTTTTCTCTGTTCTATTATAAACTTTTAAGGAATTGTCTATTTAATTCCTACTTATCAATCCTTTCTCTTCATTATCTTTATCTTCTTGCATCTCATTTTGATTTTTCTCTTCCACTGCTTCTTCTAATTTCTCATCTATTTTCTGAATATCATGTTCATCTTTTTCCCCCAGTTGTTGAGAGACTTCTACACTCATTTCTTTATCTTTAGACAATCCCCTTGTCTCCTTATTGTTCTTTATAGTTTCATGCATACTTTTGAGCATCAAAATTATTTCTTCATATACAGTAGTGGCCAAAATTGTGGAAATCTTTTGAGAAAAGTTTATTTTTGAGATTTGATGGCTAATAACACCACTTTTTTTTTTGGAATAGTACCATAAAATTATATATCAATGGAAAGATAATTTAATCAAGAATGTAATGCTTTTAAAACTTTGAGAGATAAAAGTGGCTTTTTTTGTGGAATTCTAGATTTTAGGCCAAAGTCCTACAGTCTGCACTGAACAGTCCTTGCACTCAACTTCATATTGCATTGCGCCTTTTCATCTTGTATACACCCAGATGATTTTCTTCTGTCACGTAGGCACAGTCTCTTAATTCTTCTATCATCAAAGGTGTTGTCCACCTTTTCCTGACTTTATCAGTGTGGTTTTATAGTGACTGAGTCTCCTTATACATCTTCAAGAACTTAGAAATGCCACCTTTGTTTAAGTTTCCACCAATTTTTCTTCTAATTTCTTTATAACTGTTCACTTAATAATACTGTTTTACATCGCTTTCTGGGCAACCAGTCAACTCTTTGCACCATTACTTTAATTTTATTATGTTTTACAAGCTCACTAAATGAAAGAACACAAAAAAAAACCCAACCAACTTGATAGTGATCATATAACACACTGACAAATGTCCTTCTCTCAGCTTCAATACATGACATCAATAACTGAATCCTACTGTGATCTGATTGGCTCATTGCCAAAAGATGACAGCTTCAAACCTCAAAAATACACTTTTCCCAAATACTGTACCTCTATTATCCCCTGATAATCCATTTTGTAACAATTTGATAAAAATTACTCAATATACCTCTAAGGTTCCAATGTTTCGATATTTTAAAACTCCAACAGAGCCAATTATTAATAGGATTTAATCAATCCCATAGTTATACCTCCAAATCCCCTAAATTTATAATCTTTAAAGTTCTTTAGTATTTTACAGCCTGATGGTTTTCCATTTATTTGTCTTCCCAATTGTCCAAATTTTAAAATCTTATTTAACTTTTCTTCTTTTCTCTTTTCTTCTATCACCTTTCTTCTTTTGCCTCGTAGAATGTTCTGTCAAATAGCATTAATAATCCAAATCCAAATTAATCCACTAGGTTTCCTCCAATCTTTCAAGTCCACAATTCAATAACCAGTTTCAATAAAGTTTAGTTATTTGCAATTTAGTTCATCTTAAAAATATTCAAAAAAGAAAAGAAACTCACTAAGTATTTCAAAATATCCAAATAGTCTTCTAAAATAGAATCAAGGTCACTTTCATTAAAAGTTCTCATGCTGTAGTACTCCTCTTCTTCCAGTAGATGGCTCTCCTGCTCCAAACTCCAACATTAAACAGTATGTCAAAAATAGCTGATTATCCGATAAGTCCAGGGGGTTTAAAGATACAAATAAGAAAGACGGTTTCTCCCAAAATCACCTTTCAGATTGTTTAAGCTTTTTTCCAGGCTTTCTGTATTTTAAAGCTTCCTTTGGGCATTTCTTTCACCTCTTAATTTTTCGGCCTTTAATCTTCTCCATGTGTCTAATCACTGCTTCCTTAACACTGGGAGATTTTTTTAAAAAAAATAGTGTTTATTCCAACATATAAAACAAACAGTACAAAAAATACAGAAAAAGATATAGCAAATTTTTTTCACTAATGACAGCATTTCTATATTATTATCTCTATCATAACAAACATATTTACAAAAATTCTAATTCTATATATCTCTATCTTAAATTACATCCTTATTTGAATTGTAATAACCTCTATTCGTAATTCAGTTTCATATCCTATATTTCTTCAACAATTTTACCTTCTACATATTATATTGGAAGCAGATTATCCCTTATTTTTTGCGTCTACTCTCAAGCCAGGAATACCATCTGTTCCAACTTTGATAGTACTTGGTTTCTTCCCTCTCCTTCATTTCCATGGACAGTCTGTCCATTTCTGCACAGTCATAATTTTTTTTTATTATAATTTGGTCTGGAGGAATATCTGATTGTTTCCAGTTCTGTGCTAGGACAATTCTACTTGCAGTTAATATATGTAATGTTATATATTGTAATTTTTTCTCCATTTTCCCTTCAAAAATGCCCAAAAGAAAAAGTTCCGGCTTCATTTCTATTCTCTGTTCAGTTATCCCCTCCAGTCACTTTCTTATCTTACACCAGTATTTTCTAATCTTAGGACAGGTCCACCAGATGTGGTAGAATGTTCCTTGTTTATGACCACACCTCCAACATTCTGGGGATCTGTTCAAGAACATCTTGGCCAATCTCGCTGGTGAGGAGATTATTTTTTGAAATTCCTGTACTTAAGTTAAGTCTTTAGAGTAAGAGTTGGAAGTTATCTTACCCAGTTTCAATGCTCTGTCCATGGACCGCTCCAGCACAAATCTTATGGTCCCGGTTATCCCAACTTATGATTTGCCAAAAATGGCCATCGTCCCTGCAACTGCTCAGGAGAGCTTGCTTTGGACCTAACGAGGAAATTGCGAGTTCCTCATGGTACACAAAGTACCTCTCCTTTCTTCGCCATCCCTACAAGGCAGCTTTGACCCCCATAGGGTCTCCCGACAGCAGTTGCCGGCTGGATTTCGCATGGCTCAGCGGAGACCGCTATTTTCCAAGCCATTCTCGCCACGACGTCAACCGGAAGTCTTTTTTTATCTTCATTTTGATGGTGAAGGATCCCCTTCTCATCTATCAGTTTATGTATCATTTTCTTCTCTTTCTCTTTTTTCAGTTTGTATGCTAACCATCTGCCTGGCTTATTTGCATTTTCAAAAAAGTTTTGTCTTGCCATTTTAATTTTTTGTACCATATCTTCTTTTTCTATGAGGTTTAATTCATGTTTTATTAATTCCATTTTCTCTTTTACATTACTTTTTTGCGGCTCTTGCAGCAATTCTATCTTTAGCTTTTTGAGTTCTTCTTGTAGTGTTTTTTGCTGTTGTTTCTTTTTCTTGTTTCTTCTTGCTATATATGTTACAGCTAATCCTCGCATGTATGCTTTAGCCATGTCCCAAACATTTTGTATTTTCTTTAAAAAAGAAGTCTATTTCTTTTTCCATTATTTGTATAAACTCCTTGTCCTTTAGTATGGTTTGGTTCAGTGTCCATCTCAATTTCTTCCTTTGTCCCTTCCACCTAATTTTTATTGGGTTATGATCTGCCCATATGTTCATTTCTATATCAACCTCTTGGACATCTCTTCTCATGACATCCATCTAGACCACGACTGATGTCTGTTCGAATAGAATGTATATTAGTTTTTCTTTGGGTTTAACTCTCCATATATCCTGTATGCCTATTTCTTGTGTCATTTCGAAAAAAAGTTTTGGGGAGTAATTTTTTAACTTTTTTTATTGCATCTATAGTCTAGTTTGACATGCACAACTGCATTGAAGTCTCCTATCATACATATGTTTTCATAGGCCATTTCAATTATCTTCTTATGGAGCTTTTTGTAAAATTCTTCTTGTTTGTTATTTGGTGCATATATTGCAATCAAAAGAATCTGTTTCTGATTTATTACAACCTTAACCATCAATATTCTCCCTTCTTCATCTGAATATACTTGCTTGGCTTTTAACATTTCTTTAACATATAATGCCACCCCTTTTTTCTTTTGTTGTGCTAATGCAGAATATAGTTTCCCCATTTTGGGGTATTCCAATAGGTTGCCATGTTATTTGTTTAATATGCACTTCTTGAAGACAAATTAGGTCCAATTTTAATTTTTGTAGATACGTAAACTTTTTTTCCTTTTCATAGGGGAGTTCAATTCATTTCTGTTAATTTATAACATCTTTATTTCTTCTTCCATCACTTCATTTATATATAGGTTTTACACTCCAAGTTGTTCTTATCGCTGTCTGTTCCTTTGCTCTTGCACCTTCTCGTTCTGCTCATTCTCTTTTTTCATTTTTGCTCTCTTCTTGTTGCGAAGTCTTTTCTTCTACTTGTATTTCTTTTTGTCTTTTACTTCCTATCTCTTCTCTGCTTTCCTGTTCTTCACTTGCAGTAAAATGATCTTCAAAAAATTCATATGCTTTATCTAATGAATCCAATCTAAATCTTTTATCTTGCCAAATAACCAGGATTCCCTCTGGTATTCCTGCCTTATCCATTACCCCACAGCTATCTAAATTTGCTCTCCAAATGCAAACAATTGAACTACTGGTAGTACATTTCCTCAATTGTGAATCAGCCTGGGCAATAGCCTAAGCTCTTACTTTGAAGAGCAAGGACATGATCATGAATACCCTCACTGTAAAACATTCTCTCAAATTTTACCACCATTGTTTCACAATTTAGGGTTATTACAGTCTACCACCCATTTCCATTCTTTCTTTCTTTCTTTCTTTCTTTCTCTCTCTCTCTCTCTCTCTCTCTCTCTCTCTCTCTCCCCCCCCCCCTTCCGTCTCCCCCTTCCTCCGCATGCACACACACATACACACTCACATACACACACACAAATACTAATGGTGACCTCATTATCTAGAAGTGTGTTTTTGTAAAGGCATAGAAAAGGTGTTAGCATGTTCAAGCACAAAAAATAAAACAGAAAAAGATTTTTTATTCTACCAGAACCATTGAATTAGGAAGATATGGAAATGGAAATGAGATATCATGGAAGGTTGAATGGCTGGATTTATTGTACAATATTGTTGCAGAAACAATGAAATATTGTGCCATCTTAGGCTATTAAACTTACAGATTTATGTTGGAATAATATGTTAAGTGCTTTGAAATTGATGACATGAATTGGTTTTCTGAACTGTAGAGGAGAAAGATGTAACATGATAGATCCATTAAAATCATAGAAAAGTAATATTATTCACAATGAAATAGAAGTGATACAGTTCTACAATGATAAAGACATTGTTACACCCTGGAACTTCGTTTCAAATGTAGAATACTTTTGAATGTGAAATATTAACAGTGACAACAACAGATCTCCTTTGGTAGTTCTTTAGTTTTGAACTGGCTTATTTTTTTAGGATATGGAGCCAATCTTCTTAATGCCCTGAGGCCAACAGGCACCAAGCACAGGCAGCAGACACCATCACCTAAACAGGCTGAAGAGAGCCAAGCAGTCCCTGAATCCAATTATATCTGGTGAACTGCAACATCTGAAATGTTTTACATTACACAACGTTCCAGCCTTCATTAACCTCTCATGTGTTCAATATTAAAAATGCTGTTCATTACGTTTTAAGATTACTGGCCTGAATTTTATTAGCTTCATTATAAATCCCAGAGCTAATACTTATTATTCTTTGAAACTTTTGTTTCTCTAACACATTTATGTAGGCTTGTTTTCAGTGCTTTGATTGGTTTCTTTTTGTATTATATTTCAGTTCTTTATTGAATTGGGGGGAGGGAAGTGTTACACCCACATGCTCAGAAATTCCTCAGAATTAATAAGGGTGAATTTTAAAATGGCAGTCTAGAACATATAGTTTTTCTTTAATCAACCTAGCTTAAGCAAGTAGAAGGAATAGAAATGTATGTTTGATTTCTATTTCGGATTGAAGGGCTTCTTGTAGTTTATTTAATATTTTTTAACTTAAAATCAATTTCTGTTTCTACAGTGTGCTCTATATGAAATGCATCAGGGCTGTGGTATTGAAACAATATAATATATTGGAAATAAAATGGAATTATGAACTCATTCTTTGTATTGTCTTATAGCAATATAATATAAACAAAACAGGTCTTATGTAATAAACATTTTTGTACTTATGGTTATATATTAAATAAAGATGCTGCTTTATTTTGTTTGTGTTGAGATGTAACAATTCATGAAACTGGGGCTGGGCAGACATTTCCTAAAGTATATTTTGAAAAAGGAACAGAGCTTTATAACAAATATTTTAAAAAGTCACATAAAAATAAGAAAACTATTTACCCATCCTACCAGAGTGATATTATGTATAATCAGAACCCACACATACACTGTTATGACTTCATAAATCATCCTGAACATTAATTAAATCATTAAATCTTGGTGGAATGATGCAAGGTTTTCAATGGACTACAGATTGCCTACCCTGGAATTCCAAGACCGTCCTCTGTTTTCCTAAAGCTTTACTTACTGTGCTATGACTGAGACAGCTGCAAGGAGACAACCCCAAGGCAATGATCCAATGCCCTCTTTTATATTGTCACAACATTATTGTTATCCTATCATTTCTTATTGCTATCCTTTCTTCCTATCATCTGTCTCTTTTGAACTGCTTGAGAACCAAAAACATCAATAGAAACTTTACTGAGATAGTCTGCAAGAATGTAAGAGCCTACATAAGGGCCTTACTCTCTTAAAGAGCTAGTACATATTTTAAATCTATTGTACTTTCTTTGGGAAAAGGTGGAGGGCTGTCCTTGAAAGAGAATTTGCATAACAAGGCAGCAATCCTCTGTATACTTATTTAGGAGTAAGCATTATTGAACTCAGTAATATTGACCCACAGTGGCACAGTTGACCTTTGAACGGCCTAGCTGCTCTTTCTAGACAGCTGTAGTTTGCAGGTTGTCTCCACAGGCTGTCCTACTTGGAGTACATTCCAAGTATTTAAAGGTCTGCTACTCAAAACTTGAGCTAGTACTCAAGGCTTTCAAGGGGATCTAAGGTCTGGTTTGCTCATTGGATCACAATAATGTAGTTCATCTGGATTTGATTAACATATTGGGTGCCCTGCCATCATGGTCTCTAAACTTTTTTTTTAACCATGTCTAGTTTATTCAATAAATCATAGCTAAATGAGAACACAAAAGTATGAATCAGGTTACTATGTAACTAACTTGCTTTGAACTATCTAATTAAAGTGATAAAGCGCTTACTATAATATTGAAATGTTAGAGTAATAATAAGGCTATCAATTTCTATCCTATTTTATTTTTGGTGGATAGTATAAATACAAATGAATCATAACCTTCAATCTAGCACATTTTTTATTAAAAATATATTAATTTATTGTCATCTTCCTGCAACATGTGTTTTTATTAATGTGGTCTACTACTATGATGTCAATGGCTCACAAGTATGTTAGAAATAAAAAGATTGAATACAGAATTATATTACAATTCATTTGTTTTAGAAGTATTATTGCATGCACTCTGTATAGGTAAACAACTTTGTATTTAAATTAGAAACAAATGAAAAGCATTCTCAATATAACAGGCATGCCAAAAAAAAAAAATAGATTCAATAGACAGCTATTTTGGTGCCCAGTGCATCAGGAAGGATTATAACAAATGTCTGCTCTTTGAATACTTTTTTGTCTGAGAGGCACTAATTTAAGTTCACATGATTCACTGAAACAATGTTATGGCAGAAGCATTGTGGGAAAATTTAAAAATAGCTGAATATCAGCCAAGATGCTTATGGCTTTTGATGCAGAAGAATGTAATTAGATATAGGGCTATTAGATCTGGCTGCAAGAATTCAGATGCCCATTAGACAGGAGGTATAGAAAGTTATAACTCTTTGCTCCTATCTAGTGGTTATCTATATTTTAATAGCCCAGATCTAGTCACTCTACTAAACAGCATTCTAATGCACAGCCCTTCAAGCTCTGATTATGCATATTTGAACTGAGTTTCAGTGTTATATCATAATTTTGCCAAAATCAATTGTATGCATTTAATATTATATCATCTAACATAGTAGGCCTTATTAATAGTTGAATGTTTAACATTAATGAAACCAAATACGAATATTGCTCTATTCCCATAGAATTGGCTGAGACATCTTAGAGAAAAATCTTAGTTCCTGTGCCAGTGCTTTGTGTTTTATGCTTTATTATGCTCTGAATCATGGTTGTCAATGACATTTATTTTGTGTTTTGTTCTTTTTTATAATTGATACACTGCCAACTTGGCTTTTTAAAAAGCAGCTATTTCTTTATTAATAATTTCAAGAGATGTATAAAAATTTAACATAATTAAAGACATTAATGCATCCTGCTTCTATATTGCAGTTGGATATTTTAATTACTTAACCCAGAGTAATGATACAATGAAATATATTCTACTTATGGGAATAAGCTCATAAACTCAGTGGAATAAACTTCTGATGAAAAATAGGAATGAAACAAACCAACACTTACATACTTCCACCAAATTCAGTGAGGCTTATTTCTAAAGAGTAGTTCATAAAATGGTAATAAACATTAATTTCTAATGAAATTATTATTTTTATACAAGGATTGATCAGAGGTTTATTTTTTTTAGATTGTTTTGTCCTGCATTTTTTTTTTTTTATAAATAACTCAGGGCGGCTAATATACTGTACCTAACACTTCTGCCTCCTATTTTCCTCAAAATAACTATGTGAGGTGAGTGGGGTTGACCTCACATAGTGATTAGCCCGAAAAGATCCAGCTGATTTTCATGCCCAAGGCACAACTAGAACTCACAGTTTCTTGGCTTCTAGCCTGATGCCTTAACCACTAGACCAAACTAGATTATTTAAAACTATTAAATAACTTGCAGTTACCTACAGAACATCACAGAAACAATTGATTGGTAGATTGGTATTGATAAATTGCCCTGTCAAATTCCAAACATTTGTCTTACAGATTTTCAAGATGTTTGTGCTGGCAAAACCAACAAGTTTGTTCAAAATCAATCTCTTTTATCAAAAATGATTTAGATAAGGGAATAGAAGGGGAACTCATCAAACTTGCAGATGATACTAAAATGGCAGGAATAGCCAACACCCCAGAAGACAAGCTCAAGATCCAAAAAGATCTTGACAGACTTGAACAATGGGCCCTAACCAGCAAAATGAATTTTAATGTGAAGAAAAGGAAAGCTTTACATTTAGGCAGGAAAAATCAAAGATATAAGTACAGATTCGGCGAGACCTGGCTCAAAAACAGTAACTGTGAGAGGGATATTGGAGTCCTCGTGGATGATCATTTGAATATGAGCCAGCAGTGTGCAGCAGCAGCCAAAAAAGCTAATACAATCCTTGGTTGTATAAACAGGCATAGAATCAAGATCACGTGAAGTATTAGTGCCGCTTTACAAAACCCTAGTAAGATCACAGCTGGAATACTGCAACCAATTTTGGTCACCATACTACAAAAAAGATGTTGAGACTTTGGAAAAAGTTCAGAGAAGAGCAACTAAGACAATAAAAGGCCATGAGACTAAACCATATGAAGAACAGCTGCCAGCTTTGGGTCTGGCTAGTCTAAAGAAAAGAAGAATTAGGGGTGACATGATAGCAGTATTCCAGTATTTGAGGGGCTGCCACAAAGAAGAGGGGGTCAAAGTATTCTCCAAAGCACCAGAGAGCAGGACAAGGAACAATGGTTGGAAACTGATCAAAGAAAGAAGCAACCTGGAATTAAGGAGAAACTTCCTAACAGTGAGGATAATTAACCAGTGGAATAGCTTGCCTTCAGAAATCGTGGGCGCTCCATCACTGGAGGTTTTTAAGAAGAGACTGGACAGATGCTTGTCTGAGATGGTATAGGTATATATATGCTTGAGCAGGGGGCTGGACTAGCTCTATTTTAAATTCTTTAAAAAGTTTTTTTGTTCCTTTCCTTTATTGTGTACATCATCTAACATCTGAACTTAAAACTCTAATAAATCATTGCTGAAACCTCAGCCAATAATAGGGATTAAATAGCTAATGAGAGCAAGTCATTAAATTTTTCCAAAAAGCTATGTCTGCAATAGCAAAGTGGTAACATAAACTTGTGTATTTGAAATGTGTGCTTTATGGTTTCTAAATTTAACAACTCTCAATCCAAAATAATGGGCAAACTTCTGTTTTGTAATATATTTTATTCCATATTAATAAAGTTGTAAAGTTGAGGCAGTTGCCATTAACTGTTTGAAGCCTCCCTTGTGCATACAGAAACAGCTTTATGTCAATCTACGCCTCCTGTGGGCATAAGGCTTGCCATTCGTTGCTTTCCTGCATACGTTATAGGCTTAATTAATGCTCTTGCTAAATCTTATATCTGAGGCTGATTTTAACCGTGTTATTGTAATGTAAGGTACTGATGGGTCAATATGAAATGTTTGCATCTACCTCTGTTCGTCTTTTGGCTGTATTGTTTAAATTATTAAAAGGGACTAGGTTCTTTAACATGGTAATATTTCAACTCAGGTAGTCCTCAATTTACAACAGTTCAAACAGTGTTGTTCAAAGTTACAATAGCACTGAAAAAAGTGACATGACTGTTTTTCACAGTTACAACCTTTGCAGCAGCCCCATGACCATGCGAACAAAATTCAGATGCTTGGCAACTGGTTCATATTTATTTATTTATTTACTTGTTTGTTTGTTCGATTTATATGCTGCCCTTCTCCAGAGACTCAGGGCGGCTTACAATGCATTAAGCAATAGCCTTCATACTTTTGTATATACCTGCTTAGTAGGGCTTTTTGGCCCCCCCTAAGTGGTGTGCTATTTTATACAAAGTCAGCTTATTGCACCCACAAACAGGGTCCTCATTTTACCTACCTCGGAATGATGGAAGGCTGAGTCAACCTTGAGCCTGGTGAGAATTGAACTCGCAGTAATTGCAGGCAGCTGGCAGCTAAGTGCTACTTTAACAGCAGTTTAGTCTGCTGCGCCACCAAGGCTCCTTTATCATAAACCATATTTATGATAGTTGCTGTGTCCCAAGATTTTGCAACCTTTTGACAAGCAAAGTCAATGGAGAAGTCAGATTCACTTAACAACTGGGTTACTAACTTATCAACTGCAGTGATTCACTTAACAACTGTGGCAAGAAAGGTCGTAAAATGGGGCA